AATACACTGAAGAAATACTAAAACCGCTAGTGCAAAGCTTTATGTAAAACTACTATATAACACAAATTATAGAGCTTGGTGCTACAGTGATGCTGAGAACCATTTAACCCCTTCAAATTTCACTCATATAAATCCCCCCTCATCAAAAAAAAGCCACCAGACTGCTGCCTAATTCCTAATTTTTGCTAAATGTATCAAAATTCATTAGGGTTTCATGTATAGCGTCAAGCAGAATAGCAAATACTCCTTCTAATGAAAACATTTGTTTTCAGGATCATGTTGTATACATAAAATAGTCTATTCCAACAAATAAAGATTCCCTCTAGTTAAAACTGAGGGGAAAAAAAGCAACTTAAGAGCAGATGAAAGAAATGTATTTTATTTGTGTAAACTAAACTTCTAACTACTGAGCAAATCAAACCATTAAGATCTCAGGTGACATCTTCTGAGGACTATGACCTCTACACAGCACAGAACGGATTCAGTGGCCGTATTTGTCCTTTCCCATGACAAATGGCTATTATATCTGTTTCCAGCTATACAAAAAGGGATATTTAGCTTCAGATGGCAGAATGTTAAGAGCATTCTGATGTGTGGGGTTTGGGGGTTTTCTTCTGAGAGCTTTGTTTAAAAATGTACTTCTCTATGGGCTATGCATTTACAGGTTTTTGGTGGACTAATTAGTAACTGGAATCCAGAGCGAGTATCGTTCATTTGGTAAAATACTTACATATTCCCTCAAGGGAAAATCTGAGGCAAAACATGCAAAATTGGCTGTGCAACTAGCATGAATGTCACAAGTATCTAATTCCCAAAGCCAAAATATATCCCTTTTAGTGTTTTTGAAACATAAAATTAAGGATTTTGTTAAATATGAAGGAACATAATCGTGGACTGGACTCCACTGACAGAAGGTAATTATGCTAGAGACATATCAATCTAATACTCACTTCTATATTTAACTTGCTTTTAGCTGTGTTTTGTTTCAGTTTTAGAGGAGGCAGTGGCTATCCAGCTTACTGTCCAAACCATTACAGTCACTTCAAGGACAGCAACTACAAATTAAAATGTGGAAAACCCATTACTAGTTTAGCAGAGAGTTGAAGAAAATTCAGCCTTGTTCACAACTCTGAGTTCAGTGTACCTGACCAAACAAATAAGCATCTTCCCAGGATCACAGTGATGCAGAAGTGCCTCAGTTCTTTTTCAGTAATTTTCACTGTGAAAGGCACAAGTTTTATAAGCTCATTTTGAAAGTGCATCTATTAAAAAGTTAATAACACAATGACTATTTAATGCTACTTTTAAATAATAATAATAATAATAATACAGATTATTAACCAGTGACATGTAAAACAGTGACAGCAATGGATGCTGAAGTTATTCAGAGCCACATCACAAGTGGCAATTTGGGAAATGCCCAAGTAGACACTCAGGAATTCCTGAGCAGTAATTTGGTTGAAAGAAAACTGGTGGGAACAGAGGTGAAGAATGTGATACAAAGAGGAGAGGCTTTGCAGAAGTCAGTTACATCTGAAATGAGAACATGCTTACTAAAATACAACTATTATAGATTCAGTCGATATCTAGAGTGCTCCATCTGCTCCCACTATGGGCAATATTTTGAAACCATGTCACCGTTAACATGGCATTTTCAGAACATTCTTAAATGATTAGTCTTGCCATAACATGAGGAAACAATATTGACACAAAGCATCTACTGTAACAAACTACATTCCATAGTTCTGGCAATTTTAACAGTAAAAACTACAACGTCAACATGATGTCTACACTCAGTTTATAAGATCAGCTATTTTTCTTTGTAACAAATTGAGAAGTAATGCAAGCAGTGAGTAACTTCCAAAAGTAACATACTCATAACAGTTGGTGTGCAATTTAACTGCTGATTTAAATCAGCTAGCTGTCACAAGTAACTCCCCTAAACTGCTTCTAAAATGGGCAGACATGGAAAGGAAGAGGAAAAACAAAATGGTCAACAACCAGCAGCAGAAGTGCATTAAATATGTTGAAGATCTTCCAGCTTAAGTAAGGAGAAATTCATTCCAGGACCTAAGAGCTGTGCCAGGCATTAAATCTTTCACAGAAAATCATCCTAATTGTCTCCTTAGAATTAACCTATCTTATATTCCTAAGCAAGCTTATCTAATCAGAAGCTCATTTCTTTTATGTTAAAGCTATGTTTGAGAAATTCAATTTCAAGCTGTCAGCACTGATAGCCATTTATTCTGCACCTACACTGAAGTCTGTGGGAGGGGGAGGTTGGAAAACTAGCTGAAATGAATGAAAGTCTGCCTCTCAAATGCAGTTTTTCTGATTTTTAGGGGAAGAAAAAAGTTATCACTGTAATTGTTCTGCCTGTTCCCCTTTTTTGATCTTGCCAACTCCCCAACAATATTTTGCACTTCCTTTTTTCTTTTTACATGACAACAAAACTCAAATTAAAAAAAACCCAAACATTTTCCACTGGAATTTTACATGGTCATTTTATCTACCTTGTCCTCAATAAATTTAACTTACAAACAAAATAAATGAAAGCTGATATCAATGCAGAATAACAACAACTACTCTTAAAGACATTTTATGGTATCTGTCCACTGTGTTTTAGCAAACATACCTAAAGTGATATCAAAACACTGAAATCAAATCACAATGCTACAGTAAATAGCATGGCACAAACCTCTCTGCAGAAGTCCTTCAGATTAAAAGGCAAAGCATTCCTGGCAATCTGTGACATAGAATACAACCCAACCAACACTCAAAATATCAAGGACCTGGAAGCTCCATTGCATTAAATATTTAGGTCCCCTGAATCCAAAACTGAAGAGGCAAAACAAGAGAGAAAAATAGAAAGACAGACAGAAAGAACTAAACAAACAGAACAACCTTACCTTTCACAAGCTCGGACAGTCCATGCAGCAATTATCCATAACGAGATACTAAAAACCAACAGTACAGTTCCTGGACATATTGTCATTAGAGTCTTCATAACAAAACGGGTATTGAAGTTTATCTTATTTAATGCTCCAATGCTTCTAGATGAGGCATCAGTGAAAAGTTTGCTATGCAAAAGCATAACTCTGGCAATAAGATATAGTCTTAAGAACATTGGTATAGATAAAATAATATCCACATCAGCTGTTGTTGTGGATGGAGCGTAAGAAAAGGCGAGCCGGGCTGTCCATGTGAATGTATAGTTCCCAGGTATGGGATGTATAGCACATACCAGTATTTCCAAGCAGATAAAGAAAATACGCTCATAAGTCATGGCTATTCTCCAGTCATCTGCTCCATTGTCCACCATGAACAACTGAAATAATAAAATATAAGGTTAGCTTTAGTACATCATTAACAAACCTTGTTATAATTCCATTTTAAAATACCATAGTTTTCAGAGCTGCAAAGGACCACTAAAAAGAAAATAAATATGCCATTTCAGAAAATGACATTACTACATCACTATGAAGTGAAACATAACTCTGGTTAGACAAAAAGAATTTTTTCATGCACTATTTTTAAAACTGAACATGAAACTAAATTTTCACAAATTATTTACTAAGAATTCCTCATATTTCCTTTAAGTGTAATTTCTGATTAAAAAAAAACACTGGACCAATTAAGCCTTGTCCCGTCAAAATCAATTGAAAAGTTGCCTATTTGCAACTTTTCAAGTTCATGTAATTAAGAAAAATTTAAGTGTTTTCAGAATGGATATCTAAATTACAAATTGAAAATACTTTCTAAGATGCAATGTTAAGCCCGCCCTAGAACATATCCATGCTTCAGACAGGGTGATATTATAGCTTCTGGAGAACTACCCAAGCTTTCTTCAAGCTTCAGGCACCAATACAGATCAATGTAGGATGCAAAACTACATGAGAAACTGCACAAAGACTCAAGAAGATATCTCATGGTGTAAATCTGAAAAGCAAAAGCCAGCAAATATCTGAGTAGCTCAGGCAGTCAGGTGATGTCTAGTAGTAGCTGAAAATTAAATGCACATGCTGATTCTTGCACAACCAAGGCCTTCAGTTTGCCACTGTCCTGGTTTCGGCTGGGATAGTGTTAATTTTCTTCCTAGTAGCTGGTACAGTGCTGTGTTTTGGATTTAGGATGAGAACAATGTTGATAACACGCCAATGTTTTAGTTGTTACTGAGTAGTGCTTACACTAGTCAAGGACTTTCCAGCTTCTCATGCCCTGCCAGCGAGGAGCTGGGAGGGGACACAGCCAGG